TGACCCCTCATGCAGCCTTGGCCTCTACCCTCTGTCCTTCCCTCTCCCAGACTCGAGGGCCCACCATCAGAAATGGGGCAGGCTCAGCACAGGCCTCCGATACAGTAGGAATGCTGAAAGGATATTTAATATCTTGAACTAATGAGCCCAGTAAAATTCTAATTTAATTGTTGGTACTTTATGGTTTGGAGAAGGAAAGTCCGAAGGAAGAAGGCTATTCTGCAAGGGCAAGTGGACCTGGGTTGCTGTTTGTTTGGTTTTGGATGGTTTCCTTTAAATGTAGTTTTATTGATTTCAGAGAGGAAGGGAGAGGAGGGAGAAATAGAAACATCCATGGTGTGCCGGCACCGGTTTGGCTCAGTGAATAGAGCGTCGGCTTGGGGACTGAAAGGTCCCGGGTTCGATTCCGGTCAAGGGCATGTACCTTGGTTGCGGGCACGTCCCCAGTAGGGGGTGTGCAGGAGGCAGCTGGTCGATGACTGTCTCTCATAGATGTTTCTAACTCTCTGTCCCTCTCTCTTCCTCTCTGTGAAAAATCAATAAAATATATTTTAAAAAAAAAAAAAAAAAAAAGAAAAGAAACATCCATGGTGAGAGAATCATTGATAGCTGCCTCCTGCATGCCCCCTGCTGGGGATCAAGCCCACAACCCAGGCATGTGCCTAACAGAGAATCAAACCATGACTTCCTGCTTCATAGGTCGATGCTCAATCACTGACCCACACCAGCTGGGCAGTTTGTGTTGTTTTTTTTGTTTTTGTTTTTTTAATGAATCCATCATTATAGTTGAGTATTTTCACTGCCCTAAAGACCCCCTGTGCTCTGTCTATTCATTTCCCCTTTCACCACACACACACACACACACACACACACACACACGCACCTGGAGATCCCTGAGCTTTTAACCTTTTCAGTTTTACCTTTCCCAGAATGTCATATAGCTGGAATCATACAGAATGTAGCTTTTCCAGAGAAGAAGGGAGAGGGATAGAGAGAAACATCAAAGAGAAAGAAACATCCATCAGCTGCCTCCTGCACACTCCCTACTGGGAATATGCCCACAACCAAGGTACATGCCCTTGACCGGAATCGAACCTGGGACCCTTGAGTCCGCAGGCCGACGCTCTATCCACTGAGCCAAACCAGTCAGGGCATGGCCATATTTTTTCTAATTAATCACTTGAAACCTTCCTCTCCTCAAAGTCCAAAGCTTAATATCTTGCTTTTGAATTTTCCAAATCCCCAGAACCTTACCTTAAGTCTTGCTTCTGAAATATGGACCCAGATTCTAAGAAAACTGCAACTACCTTCTCTTGCTCTTGCATCTCTGTACCACAAGGTGGCACTGCTTAACACCAGTCTTGCACAGCCCCCTAGACTCCTAAGCTGCTGTAGGGAGGGAAATCCCTGCTCCTTGTGTCTGCCATTTCTGCCAGATGCCCCACACTTGGCTCCAAAGTTGGCTCCCTTGCTTCATGTTCAGACATTATTCTCCCAGATGAGATCCTGAACAGCATCCACCAGCTTTCAGGTATTAATCTTGAATCATTCACCACCTACACTCCCGTGTTTTTCTTGATAAGTATTAGAGACTGATTGATGTTTGTGTCCTTGTCCCTGCCCTCCCCCAATTCATATGTTGAAGCCTTAAGTCCCCCCTACCCCCACCCCGTGTGACTGTATTTGGAAATAGGCCCTTTTTGGAACAAATTAAGGTTAGGTAGCTCCCTGACTCAACAGGATTAGTGTCCTTATAAAAAGAGACACCAGAGCCGAGACTGGTTTGGCTCAATGGATAGAGCGTCGGCTTGGGGACTGAAGGGTCCCGGGTTCGGTTCCGGTCAAGGGCATGTATCTTGGTTGCGGGTACATCCCCAGTAGGGGGTGTGCAAGAGGCAGCTGATCGATGACTCTCTCATCGATGTTTCTAACTCTCTATCTCTCCCCTTCTTCTCTGTACAAAATCAATAAAATATATTTAAAAGAGAGAGAGAGAGAGAGAGAGAGAGAGAGAGAGAGAGAGAGAGACACCAGAGCCCTAGCCTATTTGGCTCAGTGGATAGAGCATCAGCCTCCAAACTGAAAGGTCCCAGGTTCCATCCCAGTCAAGGGCACATGCCCAAGTTGTGGGCTCAATCCCCAGTGAGGGACTTGCAGGAGGAAGCCGGTCCATGATTCTCTCTCATCATGGATATTTATATCTCACTCTTCCTTCCTCTCTGAAATCAATAAAAATATATTTTTTAAAAAAGAGAGAGAGACACCAGAGAGCTTGTGTGCTCTCTCCTCATCATGAGAGGACACATGGGAAGGCAGCTCCCTGCAAACCAGGAAGAGAGGCCTCCCCAGAACCCAAGCATGCTGGCGCCCTGATCTTAGACTTCCAGCCTCCAGAACTATGAGAAAGTAAATTTCTGTTGTTCAAACCAAGCAGCCTGCAGTATTTTTTTTAATTTTCTTTTAAGACTGCTTCTTACATTTAGCATATAGACATTTAGCCTGCTATGTGGGAATATTGTTATCTAGCTTCTAGTTTACCTTTATTGCATGTTTGCATGACTTGTTTTTCTTGCCCTACAACTCACCATTCCTCATCTTCTCTCCCACTCCGAAGCTCTGTGGTTTGGATGGAGCTGACTGCAGCCCCAGCTCCATGGGTGGACATGTGACCTTGCCTGGCCAATCTGAGCGGTCCATCACCCTGACCACAGCGATTGCCTCAGGGATATCCACGTGACTCAACTCTTGCCAAAGAGATGACATCCTGAGACTTTGGCTGGAACCACTCACAAAGAAGAGCCTCCATGGTGGTCACTAACCTGGGGGCTGCCTGCAGCTGACAGCCACTCGCCTCCACACAGGAATGAAAGTGGAACAGAAGGCCCTAGCCGGTTTTGCCCAATGGGTAGAGCATCGACCTTCAGACTGAAGGTTCTGGGTTCGATTCCAGCCAAGAGCATATGCCCAGGTGGCAGGCTCCATCCCCACTGTGGGGCATGCAAGAGGCAGCCATTCAATGATTCTCTCTCATCATTGATATTTTTATCTCTCCCTCTCCCTTCCTCTTTGAAGACAATAAAAATATATTTTTTAAGTGGAACAGAAAGACAAAGAGTAGAGTATTATTTGGTGCTATTATTTGAGCACCTGAATGCAGTTATGCCTGAAGCATGGAGAGTTCCTGGAGTTTTCCGTTCTGTAAGCCAACAATTTCCCTTTTTCTCTTCAGCCAGTTTGAGCTGAGCCAACTGACTCAACCTGAAATCCCGGGACCAGGGGCCAACGCTGACCGTGTTGGGAGCATGCCGTGGAGTGCAGAGGGTTTCTTGCCTTCAGGATGCTCCCAGCCAGGCTGCCTCTCCACTCAAGCCATTTCTTTCAGGACCTTCTCGAAGCAATAGGCTTTCATATGAGGACAGGGAGGTGACCCAAAACCTAATGAGAAGCACTTACAATGATCCCTGCATCACCAGGCAGAGAGAGTCAGAGCCAAAATCCAAGCCCTGTCCCTTTAAAACTCTTCCTGTTCCCTCCAAGAAGTGAGAGAAGGAATGAAACTAAGCAAATTTAGTTTAATCTGGGAAGTCTTGGGGTCCTGGGGTGATGCTTCCTTTTTAGAAAGAGGACAGTAAGTAACTGCCAGCTCTTCAAACAGATGAACTCTACCTTGATCTAATTTATGCATTCTGGGCTTCTTTTGAAGAGTGGTTCCACGGCTGAATAATAATGTTGAATATCTGGACTGGACTTTGATTCTTGGGATCCTCCCAGGTTGGGGAATGGGTGAGCAGGCTACAAACCCAGAGACTCCTCCTGCTCTGACATGCTGGGATTTTCTAACCATGTGCACTTGGATGCGTGGCCAGACTGGAATCAAAACTAAGGATCCGTTCAGCAAGACTTGGGTTCAAAACCTGACTCTGCTACTTGCTTGCTTGGTTCCCTGGTGAACCATTTTCCTTTTTGAGCCCCGGTTTCCTAATCTGTAAAATGGGGATGCTGATATCTCCCTCTGAGTTTCCCTGTGAAGAGTAACTAAATCAAAGCCTGAATCCTATTGGTGGAGCCAGCAGGAAGCGCTGGGGAAGGCTAGGTTGCTACTATGGATGATCACATCATTGTCGCTGTGTGTCTTCACACTACAGAGTGAGACCGGCGAGAGCTGTCTGGTGTGCTACTTCAGAGAGGTCTCCCGGCCCTGGTGCGGGTGGGATGCTGTGGGGTGGGGAGGGGTCCCAGTCAGACAGTCTCCTTTGAGAATGTGGTGGGCAGAGCAGCCTACCCTGCAGTCTCAGCCCGCCAAGCCCGGGGCAGATCCCTGGCTGAAGTCGCCCTCCACATCCGGATGCCAGGGACACTGGGCCCAACCCAGGTGACTGGGCGGCGATGCGTCTGAAAGCCTCTGAGCTTGCAGTCCCGTAACCCGACACCCGCAGGCCCGATTCCCCCGCCGGGCAGGGCTGCAGGGGGGGGGGGGGGTCAGGCCACCACTCCCCGCACTGGGACCTCCCCCCTCGCCTCCCAAGCCCCCTTCTCTAAGCCCCTCACCCCCAAAGTGCCCACTCTCAGGGGTCCCGGTTTAGGGGACGAGGACATCTCTTTAAACAGGGGAGCAGAGGACTGTGGTGGCGCTTCTCCCGGGCACAAGTCCTTGGCCCGACCCCGAGCAGCAGAAGGAATGCAGGTGGCGGGGGTCCCCCATTGCAAAAATAGAAAAGCAAAGTGGGGGGGGGGTGTAGGGGGGGCGGGAAGGAAGCCCTGGCGAGGAGCCTGTGGAAGGGGGCCCCGGGACCCTCAGGGACCTGGTCCTGGGTCCCAGCGCCTAACTACCTGGAGAGCCACAGAGCGCGCGCGGGGACCGGGGCGCGGGATGCTGGTGAGCGGGCAGCCGGCGCCTCTCCCTAAAGCCGTCCGAAGCCCCAGCCCTGGAAGAAACTTTGCGCCTGCGGCTCCGCTCCTCTCCGTGCTGCCCCGGGCCCCCACCCCCGGCGCCCACTCACCAGCGCACCAGCTGCCAGCGTTTCTCCCCCGGCGTCCCGCGGCCCGCCATGCCTCGCCCGCCGGCCGCCCGCTCCCGGCTCCGCTGCCGCAGCCAGTGCCCGGGGCGCGCTCGCCGGCGCTGGGGGCGGCGCGGGGGGCGGCGCGGGGCCCGGCGAGCGGGGCGGGGCGGGGCGGGCGCGAGGCGAGGCGAGGCGAGGCGGGCCGGAGCCGGGCTGTGCGGAGCGTTCTGCGCTCATCTCCCCAATCCCCACCCCACCCCACTTCACCCCAACCCACCCCCTGGGCCCCTGGGCGCCGCCCGCCCGGGCTCTGGATCCGACCAGGGCTGGGTCACCGCCGCCGGCACGACCAAATTCTGCCCTCGCCCTGCCCTCTCCTCGCCCCGCTGGTGCCCGGAGCACCGGGTGAGGAGGCGGATTCTCCCAGTTCCACGTTGCGGGAGGCCTGACTTGCTGAGTGACTGAAGGCGATCTTCCTAACCCAGCTCTGCCTTACTCCCTGACACCCCTTCTGCCCACCTAGGAAGTTATGCGTAAAAAATTAAACCACTCTTGCCGAAACCGGTTTGGCTCCGTGGATAGAGCGTGGGTCTGCGGACTGAAGGGTCCCAGGTTCGATTCCGGTCAAGGGCATGTACCTTGGTTGCAGGCATATCCCTGGTGGGGGCTGTGCAGAAGGCGGCTGACCGATGTTTCTCATCGATGTTTCTAGCTCTCTATCCATCTCCCTTTCTCTCTTTAAAAAATCAATAAAATATATATTTAAAAAAAAAAAAAAAAAGTAAACCACTCTAAATGCTTAAAAGGAAGACTGGTGTGCCCCACAGATAGTGAAAGTATTTTTAAGGTGACAATATTAGCGGGGCGCGCTGCCAATACTAGGACCAGCTCCTCCCATGTCTTCAGTCAAGCTTCACCCCAGGAACCCGGTCATTCCTGCAGGAGAGCAGGGACCCCGCCTGGCCCAAGGCATCATGGGACCATGAAAGTCAAGCCTGGTTTGAAGGCGCTGAGTTTTAGAACCGTTTATTAGTAGGAACATTTGTCTGAACATGGTCCTTCCAGTTCACCTGCATCCACTACCAGGACAGCCCACATCCTTTGCAAGAGGGAAACTGGTGCAGAGATGACAAAACCTGGCCCCAGTGTGAGGACCTGTGTGCCTTCTTGGCGTCTGTGGCCATTGCCAGGAGCATTGGAAGCATGTGCATGGGGAATCCAGACTACTGACATTTGTATGTATGACCATAGGTGCCCTCCCAGTGGTCAACACTTGAAAAGTTAAATGTGATACTGTTTTTTACTTGTCTCATTTGTAATTATAGATTGTGTGTTTGTTTTAATATATTTTTATTGATTTCAGAATGAAAGAGAGAGGGAGAGATAGAAACATCAGTGATAAGACAGAATCGTTGATCAGCTGCCTCCTGCATGCCTCCCACTGGGGATTAAGCCGGCAACCTTGACATGTGCCCTTGACTGGAATCAAACCTGGGATCCTTCAGTCCGAAGGCCGCCGCCGCTCTTTCCACTGAGCCAAACCAGCGAGGGCTGTTTTTTGTTTTGTTAATTTGTTTTTTGTTTGAATATATTTTTATTGATTTCAAAGAGAAAGGGAGAGTGTGAGGAAGACAGAAACATCAAAGAATCATTGATTGGCTGCCTCCCGTCCACCCCACATTGGGGACTGAGCTCATAATCTGGGCATGTCTCCTGACAGGGAATCAAACATGACCTCCTGGTTCATAGGTGGATGCTCAACCACTGATGCTCAACCACGCTGCTGGGCCCATTGATTGTTTTTTAACTACCCCACCTCGGTTTGTATGGAGAAGGAAAGTGGACACTCTTAATTGTGACTGAGGTTGGAGAATAAATTGGTCCAACCCTTGTGCACGGCCATTTGACACTATGATGAAAAGCCATCAAGTGTGCATGTCTTTTGATTTCTCTCCTTTTGAAATTCATCCTAAGAGCATAATTAGAAACATGAAAAGAGACATCTGTAGAAGAATATCCACTGCAGCATTGTTTTCAATAGAATAAAACGGGAAACAACACAAAAGTCAAATTGGAGATCAGTTAATTTGGCCGGGTGGGTAGTTTAGTTGGTTGGGTTGTTGTCCTGATGCTCCAGGGTTGCAGGTTCCAGCCCTGGTCGGGGCACATACAAGAATCAACCAATAAATGGAACAATAAATATCTCTCCTCTCTCTCTCTCCCTACCTAGCTCTCTCTAAAAAATCAACTAAAAATGTTTAAACTTTTTTTAAAAAAGCTAGTCCATATGATGGGATATTATACAGCTACTAAAGAAGACTTTATTGGCATGAAAAATTCAAGATGTATTTTGTTGTAAGTATGGTGACTGTAGTTAATAATACTATCTGGCATAACTGAAAATTGTTAAGAGAGTAGATCACAAGAAAAACATATTTAACTGTATAGTAATGGATGTTAGCAAGCCTTATTGTAGTGATATTACAAATATCGAATCATTGTGTTATACACTTAAAATTATGTCATTGTATCTCAATTTTTTAAAAATAAATTTTAAAGTGGAAAAAATGTTACCAAATATAACTAGTACATTCATATATTCATTGAAAAATTTGGAAGAGCCCAGCTGGTGTGGCCAAGTGGTTGAGCATCAACCCAAGAACCAGGAGATCACGGTTCTATTCCTGGTCAAGGCACATACCCAGATTGCAGGCTCAATCTCCAGAATTGTGCAGGAGGCAGCCAATCAATTATTCTCTCTTATCATTGATGTTGCTCTATTTCTCTCTTCCTTCCTCTCTGAAATCAATAAAAATATTTTTTTTAAAGTCAGTCTTCCACCCTAGCTGATTTGGTTCTGTGGACAGAACTTTGGCCTGCAGACCTAAGGGTCCTGGGTTCGATTTTGGTCAAGGGCACGTCCCTCAGTTGTAGGCTCCTCCCCAGCCCGGGCCCTGGTCAGGGTGCATGCAGGAGGCAAGCAACCGATGTGCTTCTCTCACATTGATATTTCTCTCTGTCTATCTTTCTGTCTTCCACTTTCTCTAAAAATTAATGGAAAAATATTCCCAGGTGAGGAGTAAAAAGAGTCAGTATTCCAAGCTATCATGAAGAGACTGAGGGAGCCCCAAGGCCTTCTCTGTCACCCTAAACTCACTCTCTTAACTGGTATTCAGGGCTATCACCTTCCTGTAAAGCTCATGGGTGTTTTCTGCCACAAGTAGATTCATCTCTTCGATGAGGGACCTGATGAAGCTCACTTTCGACCTTGACTGGACTGGGACTTGAATCCTGGCTCCGCTGCTTATAAACTGCATGGTGTTAAATTTCCAATAGGGTTTCAATGAGATGAAATGTGTAAAGTGCTCAACTCAAAATAATGGTTACTTCTGAGGTAAGATGCACACTTCTTACACATTTTAGTTTGCATTGACTTCGTTATAAGTTTAATGTTGAAAATGGGGGAGGGTGATGTTTTAACAATAGTTAATAGATTGCCTGGTACACAGAAAGTACTTGATAAATCTTAATTCTTATTGTCATCACCTCCATGTTTTATAATGAATCTCTGGGTCTCCATACAACTTCAGGTAGAGTGCCATGCAGTCAGTCTTGCTCAATATAACTCTGTGTTGACTGACTGATTGTTAACCTCCCCTAAGGAGGTACCCTTTAGTCTCCTGCCCCACCTAGTCCATTCCCTAGCTCTGCTTTCACAGGGCCATCTCTCAGCTCTGCAGGCTCATCTATTTTAGTGGTTCTGTAAGTGATTTGTGCATATCTTTTTGTTGTCTCACCTATGAATATTTTTTCAGCCAAAGATGTTGTAAGAGTCCCGAGGGCAGCCCTAGCGGCCAGGCCTTTACAGATCAAGAAGAATAACATTTGGGGCTTAGTCATAACAATCCCATTCGAATGCACTCACAAAACGATCCTGTTGGCAGAGTCCACAGTGCTTTTCCCTGAAATGAGCTCTGAGCCACCAGCCACTCACACAACGTCACCTGGTCCCTTGCCATCATCAGCACAGATGCTAATGAGAACTCAGCATGTTTTAAGCATTTTACATATATAAACCCATTTCACCCTCACAACAACCCAAAGACCTCATGAGCTGCCTAGACCATCATTATCCCATTCTATGGATGAGGAGACTGAGGCCCAGGGAGGAGGAAGGTATTGACAGAGCCAGAATTAGAAACCAAACAGCCTGTGTTTTAGAAGCCTTCCATGTGCAGTGAAAAAAGGATCAATGCCAATGTTCTGGACTTCAGTTTTTAAAGCATCTCCTCTTGGCTTTTCGGATCTTCACATAGAGAGAGTGTTTTATCAACCGGGACCCAGAGAGTGAGTGATGTGATGCACTCAAGGTTATACAGCTAGTGAGAGGCCTGGGGCTGCTTTGCTGCCAACGAGGCCCAAGGTAGGTTTCCTGACCCCTGGTCAGCTCACCTCCCACCCAACTCCTCCCTGGGCCAGCGGGGGCACTGTCTGTGGTTCCTATGCCAGGCAGTAGGCAGCGGGCCCAGCGGATCCCGGCCTGCCTGGGCGCTGTCCGCGGTGCTGATCCGCCCGCCGCGCCCTGGCTCGCCAGGCGGCAGGCGGGTTCCCCAGGTTTCCCTTCCAGATCCCAGCCAAAGCCAGCTCCTCGAGTTCTCGGCGGCCCTTCGGGGTCCTTAGACCTGGCTCCTAGGGATTCCGGGGTTCTCCCGCCCCTCTCCCGACCGGGAGCCGCCAGCCTCCCTTCCCCCGCCCCCCCCGGCCCCGCCCATGGTCCCTCCCCGCCAGTCCCAGGTCCCTCCCCTCCCCCTGATCTCTCCCGCCCCTTCAGCTCCCCCCTACTGCTCGTTCGCCAGTTCCGGTCACGTTGCTGGGTGTTTACGCCTGGAGGCAGCCCGGGACCCCCCCTTCGGCTCCCCGGAGCCCCCGGAGCCCCGACCCCACCGGCCCGAAGCCTCGAAGCAGCTGATGGCGCCGCAGCCCGGGCGGGCGCTGCGGAACCCGGGGCGCAGCTAGCGTGGGGAGAAGAGCTCCTCCCCGTCACCCAGCC